TTACAAGGTTTTTTTTAAAATTTTATTTTTAATTGTCATTATAAAGGTGATGTACAAAGGGGTTATAGTTACATCAGTCAGATAATGAGTACTTTTCTTTTTGAACATAGCCCACCCCTTCCCTTGTTTTCTCCCAGTTTTTCCCTCCCATCCCCACTCACTAGTTGTATAGTTCATTTTAACATAGTGAGTTCCACTGATGTGTTTGTTCGCCCTTTGTCCCTCCATTTCTGTGCTATTTTACAAGTTTATGCTCCCAGCCTTTACTCACCTACACATGTCTGTCCTGGAAGCAGGACATACCACCGCCCTGGCTCCGGAGCCCTTCAAATGCCCACATCCAAATACACAACTCCTGTACACTAAATGCCACGGTGTTTAAATTAACTTTTTTTTTTTTTTGATCAGTTGTGGGGCTTGAACTCTGGGCTGTCCCTGAGCTCTTCAGCTCAAGGCTAGCACTCTACCACTTGAGCCACAGTGCCACTTCAGGCTTTTTCTGCTTATGTAGTGCTGAGGAATCGAACCCAGGGCCTCATGCATGCGAAGCAAGCACTGTACCACTGAGCCACCTTCCCAGCCCTTTAATGCCACGGTGTTCACAGACACCTTTGTTCCTCCTCCTGTGTGCTGTGTCTCTCGACTTGTGTTGTGTATATTGTCATAGATGATGGTTATGCTGCAGTAAGAAAAAAACAAAAAGCTGGACGCAGGTGGCTGTAATCCTAGCTACTCAGGAGGCTGAGATCTGAGGATAGTGGTTCGAAACCAGCCTAGGCAGGGAAGTCGGAGATATTCTTATCTCCAAATAACCATCAGAAAACCAGAATTAGCACTGTGGCTCAAATGGTAGAGCACTAGCTTTGGGTAGAAAAGCTCAGGGACAGTGCCCAGGCCCTGAGTTCAAGCCTACAACCAGTAAGAAAGAGAAGTAAAGTCTGTACATATCCAATATAGTACAGATGCAGATTTTTCCCTCAAAGATTTCTGGCTAGTGATTGGCTGAGTCTGTGGATATAGATTTCAGATACAGAAGGGCTGGCTAGGTAAAAATACTGGGGGTCTACAATGAGTCTGTGAATGAAGAGTAAATAAACTAAACCTCCTTTAGCCAGTCCAAGTCATGGTGCTCTGAAAGTCCTCACTGCCCATGCCACTGACTGACCTCAGGACCCAGGCGAGGGCTGTGTTGGTGAAGGGGTGTCTGCCCTTGGCAGTGGACATTGAAGCATATTCACTCCTTAAGCTGGGGTGAGCTATTGGTCAGCTGCAGAATGAGCAGCCGGAGCCGGGGGGGGGGGGGCACAGGAGAGCTAAGATCTGGCTCCAGCCTTGGGCTGGGCTGCCAGGGTTGGGCCACTGCCTGGGTATTTGATAGGGTGGATTGATCCTGTCTGTCTATTGAGGGACTGCTGGTCTGGACACTGTCCACGCAGATGGGTGACCACTAGCCATGCACTCCAACCAAGGAGTGTGGTGACAGGCCGAGACCAGGCCTATAAGAGGAGCTTGTTACTCTTCTGCCTTGGGAAGGTTCTGTGGTCAGTGGGCTGAGACAGGAGGAAGCAGGTCCTCCAGAAGCCCAGGAGAACTAGGTAATCACGAGCTACAGATCCATATCCACTTCCTTTGCTCTGCCAGGGGGGGAGTGGCCACTTGTCCTCTTGGGCAGCCTGTGTTAGCCATTACCACTTCCTCAGATCTGAGTCACAGTGCTTCGGGACACTCCTGAAGCTATAACTCCTGAGTGCCTCTCTTTCTGGGGGACATAGCTCCCCACCCCCAGAGAATTCTGACCGCTTCCTGGAACAAAGATTCCCCAACACACACCTTCCTGTCCTCAAATACCCTGTCTATCTTCACCCCAGCATCAAATTTACTATGTTAGAGACGTAAGGGTGGCACAGAACTTTCTAGACACAGCAGTCAGGGTCCTCTCTTCTCTGGATCCCTTGGCCAACTGTGAGGGAAAAAGCACCCATTGGCCGTGGTCACTGGGCAGAGGTGTGCCCTTGGGTTGGAACCCGCTGAGTCCAGCTTCCATGTAGGTGAAAATGAAGCTGCTTTCCCACTGAAGAGGAGAGTACTACACCTTAGTGACTGCATCCCTGGCAGCCACTGAGTCCAGCACCCTTCCCAGTGCCAGAGCTGGCCTCATAGCTGCTACAATGACATGACTGACTCTGGCCTTTTTTTTTTTTTTTTTTCTGGACCTGGGGCTTGAACTCAGGGCTTAGGTGCCCTCCCTGAGCTCTTTTTCTCAAGGCTACACTCTACCACTTTGAGCCACAGCACCACTTCTGGTTTCCTAGCGGTTACTTGGAGATAAGAGTCTCACAGACTTTCCTGCCTGGGCTGGCTTTGAACCTCGATCCTCAGATCTCAGCCTCCTGAGTTTCTAGGATTACAAGGCTGAGCCACCAGCACAACACACACACACACCAAAAGCTCTCTTTGGATGAAGTTTCATTGGGACACAGCCCTGTGCACTTGTTTGAACGCTGCCTATCTGGCTGCTGCTTGTTAACAAGACAGCTCAGTGGCCTGTGACACAGATGAAAATACTTTGCTGCCTGGCCCTTGGGGAGAAGGGTGGTGGTCAGGCTGTTGTTCTCTGTTTGTTTGGAAGTGGGGAGGAGGGAGGTAGTCTGGCTGTTTCACCACCTGTGGCGTTGGAGGTGGGGAGGAGGGTTGTGATCAAGCTGTTCTTATCTGATTATTTAGAGGTAGGGAAAAGGGTGGTAGTCAGGCTGTTCCTGTCTGGTTGGAGGTAGGGAAGGTTTGTAGTTTTGCTATTCTCTGGTGGTTTGGAGTGAGGATGGGGGTGGTAGTTTGGGGGGTAGAGGCCGGGAGGACAGTGGGATCACATGAGGTTTCCTGCCGGTCTGGTGGGCGATGGTTGTCATTGCGCCCTGGCACCTGTCTCCCGAGGTCCTGCTATTTGGTGCTTGCTGGAGGACCGGCAGTGTGACTGTCACAGTGGAGTGCTTGATGGGGGGGGCCATCAGACTGGGGAGGTAGCACTTGGCATGAAATGAGCGTGGGGAGGCATCAGGGAGTACAGAGAGTCCAGGAGCTGTGCTGTGGGTTCAAGTGACAGCAGAGGGGAGGGGTTAGAAATTCAGGGGTTGTTTGAAGAACAGATGTGGGGCCCATGCTGCTGGACACAGGGCAGAAGGGCTCTGGAAGCTCAGAGCCCAGGCGGAAGATTACATTCCAGCCAGCAGGGATAGAGATAGAAGGGTGACCTGAGGGTACTGGGGGCATGCACAGGTAGGAGGTGCTTTGGGGTGTGGCAATAAGGTGGTTGGTTGGGATCCAAGCAGAAGCTCAGGGATTGGATCCCAGCACAAGGAAGGCGGGCAGTGAGAGGTGACGAGGAGGTCAGAACCATCGCAGGAGCCTGGAGTTTGCTCAGAGTGGGCGCCACTGTGGGCCCCTTTTAGCTAAGAAGTGATAGAAAAACCATGCACCTGTTGACTCACCCCTGTAATCCCAGCTACTCAGGAAGCAGTTTGGGCAGGAAAGTCCACAAGACTGACTTCACTCACTCACACACACACACACACACACACACACACACACACACTCAAAGTGAAGGAAAATTGATAGTGGAAGAAAAGGGGAGGCAGGAAGACCTGCTAGGCAAATGTTGGGGGACCAGGTGGGGTGGGGTGAGGTGGCTACCTTTGGGTGACAGTTGGCTGTAGAAGCAGCTCAGGCTGGGCCCCAATGTTTAGGCTTTTCAATGGGATGGGCCACTGATACCAGGGCTGCCAGCAGGCCTGGGAAGCAGCTGGCACTGGGGGCCCAGCACTGCCCCTTAACCCACTTCTCTCCACCCTGCAAAGAAGTTAAGAGGTGGTTTGAATTTCACCTTGGCCCTTCCTTGCCAGGGGGTATAGGTAGTACCCAGGATTCCACTGGGCTTTTCCTCCCTCTGCTGTCCTTTGGCATACTGACCAGTCCAGTAGCCTATAGATCCCAGAGAAGTAGGTCACTTAGGGTCTAGTCCCTGCTTCTCTCTAGCCCTCATGATTTTTTCTTTTTTTCCAGTCAGTCATGGGGCTTGAACTCAAGGCCTGAGCACTGTCCCTGAGCTCTTTTGCTCTACCACTTTGAACCACAGCTCCACTTCTAGTTTTCTGGTGGTTCATTAGAGATAAGAGTCTCAAGGAGTTTCCTGCCCAGGCTGGGTTTGAGCAGTGATCCTCAGATCTCAGATCTCCTGAGTAGCAAGGATTACAGACATTGAGCCACCGGCTCGGCTAGACCTCATGATTAACAAAAGTAGCAGGAATTCTCCAAGCTTGGTCTCCCTGAGAGGTGGAGCCTGTGTGTGGGGCCCCACAGTGAAGACTCCACAGGCAGGATCCTCATTTATGACTGCGAAGGCTGGAGAGCTGGTTCTGTGGGTCTCCACCGCCCCACCTCAACTCTGACTCAGAAAGAGAGGCTGCCCACATTATGTGGAGGCCCTGGCAAGCGGCTAGTTTCCTGAGACTTGTCCCGTGCATTCCATTCTCCCTGTAGGTTTCTGACTCAGGCTGAGGTGTCTGCCAACTCCTCAGGGATTGAGATTAGACAGCAGGAAGAATTTAACAGCAAGTCTCCAGCCTGGCCACTGGGGAATCCCTTGAGCACCTTGATGTCCTTCAATGTGGTGCTGTTTGTACTCATCAGCATCCTGATTTGGGGAGGAGCTGGAGGGGGAAAAGCTTCCTCTGGAAGGAAGATTTCTTTCTGCCTCAGGGTTTCAGGGAAAGCCTCTGGTACTGAACTCTATAGCCCCGATTTGCAAAATCGCTCCTCCACCCGCGGAAAGCCTGTGGGTAAATAGTAAGTGGGCAGGCAGAGTTATGAAATGGATCATGGGCCCCGTTTTGCATTATTGCATTGGGGTAGGAGAGCTGGCTTTAAATGACAACCCCATGACAGATGGTGCGGGCCCCATGCCAGCCAGCCCTGTTAACCCTTTGCCTCCCACTCTCGGCCTGCAGCCCTATGACCTCGCTGTTGACGAGCCTTCCACCCGCTGGACTGGGACTACTGATCTGACCCCCCCCCCCGCCCCCTGGCGTCCGCCTGCGGCCAGAGAGCACACGACCTGCCCCGCCCCGCGGCCCACCCCGCCCCAGCACCATGCCGATCCTCAAGCAGCTGGTGTCCAGCTCGGTGCACTCCAAACGCCGGTCGCGCGTGGACCTCACCGCCGAGATGATCAGCGCGCCGCTGGGTGACTTCCGCCACACCATGCACGTGGGCCGGGCCGGGGATGCTTTCGGGGACACCTCGTTCCTCAACAGCAAGGCCGGGGAGCCCGACGACGGCGAGTCTCTGGACGAGCAGGCCTCGGCCGCGTCATCGTCCTCATCCAAGCGCAGCCTCCTGTCCCGGAAGTTCCGGGGCAGCAAGCGGTCCCAGTCGGTGACCCGGGGGGACCGGGAGCAGAGGGACATGCTGGGTTCCCTGCGGGACTCGGCGCTCTTCGTGAAGAACGCCATGTCCCTGCCCCAGCTCAACGAGAAGGAGGCCGCGGAGAAGGGCTCCGGCAAGCTGCCCAAGAGCCTGTCGTCCAGCCCGGTGAAGAAGGCCGAGGAGGCCGGCGGGGAGGAGGCGGGCGCCCGCCGGAACGGGGCCGCGGGCCCCCCCGCCCCGGACCCCGTCCTGGAGGAGCAGGCCTTCGGGGACCTGACGGATCTGCCCTTCGTGCCCAAGGCCAGCCACGGGCTGAAGCACGCCGAGTCCATCATGTCCTTCCACATCGACCTGGGGCCCTCCATGCTGGGCGACATCCTGAGCGTCATGGACAAGGACGAGTGGGACCCCGACGCCCAGGGCGGTGGCGGCTACCGGGACGAAGAGGATGAGCCAGGCCTGGGCGTCGGGGGCGCGCTCCTGACCCCCGCTGCCGGGGCAGCCCCTCCCCTGGGGAGGCCGGAAGACAAGGCCGCGCCCGACCTGGCCGCCTCCGTGCCCGCCTTGCCCCCGCACGCCGCCCTGGAGGAGGAGGAGGAGGGGTGGGCAACGGCGGCCCCCAGCCCCAGCTCGGCCCGCAGCGCGGGCAGCCACACCATGCAGGACAGCAGCTCCCTGTCCAGCGGCACCTCGGGCGTCCCGGAGGAGCGCAGCCCGGCCTTCCGGGGGCTGGACAGGGCCCGGGCCGCGCCCCCGCGGCAGCCAGACAAGGAGTTCTCCTTCATGGACGAGGAGGAAGAGGACGAGATCCGTGTGTGAGGCCGGCTGGAAGGAGCCCCCCCCCCTTCACACAGCTCCGGGCTGTACCCGAGTCCTGCCTCCACACCCCAGTGTGTGACCCTTTGACCACAAAGCCTCGGCCTCCCACGGGTGGACCTCGCGGATGAGGGGTGCCGGCTGAGACCGCCCCCCCTCGCCCCAAGGAGAGCTTGGGAGAATAGCATTGGTGCTGACTGGTCGCCTGACTTTGGGGCACCCCACGCCCACCCTTCAGTGCCTGCGGCCCAGCAAGAATCCTCCTTCTGGCCTCTTCCTCTGGCCTGGCCTCAAATGGATGCTAGATGTCAACCCGGGCTGTGGACCCTTGGCTTCCTTTTCTCTCCCAGAGTCCATGGTGCCCACCAGGGAAATGTGGGCAGCAGGGGGCAGAGGTGGTCACAGGCCACCAGCCCCTCCCTTCTCCACCCCCAGCTGCCTCACTGGAAACCAGCTGCCCCTGGGGATTGGGCCTTGACCTAAAGATCCCTGTCAACACTAAATGTCACCCGCCCCTTCCAGGAGAGAGGACAGGAGGGGGGCAGTTCCCAGGTCCCTGGATTTTCGAGAAGGGGCCCTTCCAGGGTAACAAGACTACAATCCTGGGCACTGCCCTGGGGGTGTGTCTGTTCTTTATTATCTGTGTTTAAATCTGAGTAGAGCAATGTTCACAACAGCATTAATTAGATCCACCACCAGGAGAAGGGGGTCCTCGTAGGAAACCTTTATACTAAGTCTCTCTCCTCTTGGAAATTCACAGTAACTGTTTGTATACTCAAGTCTAGTGATGGCCCCCTGAACTATGAGGGCTGGGTACCCACAGTTTTTGTGTTCCCCTCCCTAGCTGAACGAGGCCTGTGTAGAAAAATTCTGGAAAATTCTAGTTGTTTAAAAACCTAATAGATCCTTTGTAGAGTCTGGGAACAGGGAGGGTGGGGGCCGGGGATAGGGCACTGCCTGGACTCCCAGGTCCATCTCTTCCCCCACCCTGTGGCAGGCCCTTCCTCTTCTCTGCCCCTCCCCACTGCTGCTAAGACCAGTGCCCCAAGGGAGGGTTGCCAGATTTAGCACGCACACACACAAACACACAAGATCAGAAGCCTGGGTTTAATTTGAATTTCAGGTAACAAAGGATCTTTTTTTTTTTTTCTGTTACTGCGTCCCATGCAATATTTTTGTTTAGATTTTTTTTTGGGGGGGGGTTGTTGAGACCAAGGGCTCTATACTTGGCCCAGACTGGTTTGGCACCGGAGGGCCTTCTGTCTCAGCCTCCCCAAAGTGCTGCCTTTTGTTCAGAGGTCTGGGCCATCACACCCACCCAGTTGGCTTGCTATCTGGAACATTCTTACGTTAAAAAGTTGTTTATTGTTTTTCTGAAATTCAAGTTTTGCTCAGCTCCTGTAACTCTACCCAGGGCTCAGGCTAAGAGCTGGGATTTGGGCCCCTGGGGTGACAGCGGATTATTTTTCTGTCCTGGGAACTGGCTGACCCACCTCCCAGACTAGGATGGCCCGTGGGAGGCTGGAGAGAACAAAGGACACACAACTACGAAACCCAGCTGGCTGGGGAGGGTGGCTCAAGTGATAGAGTGCCAGCCTAGCAAGCTTACGGTCCTGAGTTCAAGCCCCAGTACTGCCAAACAAACAAAACACAGGCCCAGTCAGCTAAGGGTAGCTGCCTGGGCCCCGACTCTGAGACACTAACCTGCTTCCCTAGCAGGCGCGCAGGCCACCCAGGTCCCCCTGTGGCTGACAGTGCACTTAGCTCCTACACAGGCTGATCCCGGAACCTAGAACCTAGAATTGCTGACTGGGGCGCTCACCACCCAGCCACCTTTGGGACCCTTCAAAGTCCCTTCCAGAGACTGTAAACTTTGTGAGTTTTTTTTTTTTCCATGCTAAAGCAACAAGGAACTATTAAAAAGCCCTCTAGCAAACGTGGTGTCTTGTGTTCTGCCTTTCTGGGTGTGAGGGGGTGGGGGGGAGCCCCCCCATCTGGCTTCTCTCTCGAAATCTCTTAGGTGCCATGCTCTCCTGCACCATCCTCAGCCCCCTTGGAAAGGCAAGGCTCAGTACCTGGGACACTACTGACACTTGGTGAGGAGGGGGAGCCATGGTCACCAACCGCATTATAAGGGGAGGACACTGCCACTCCTGTAGAACGGGGCTGCAGACATGGTGCCCATGGGAGACATGGCTCAAGTGGTAGAGCACCAGCTGTGAACAAGCAAGCCCAGCCAGAGTGTAAGGCTCTGAATTCAGATCTTGGTACATGCAAAAACAAAAAAACTCAAACCTCTGCTCTGTTCACTACCATTCCTGGGAGCAGCAAAGCTTTGGTTTGGAGCCTTGGGAAACAAGGCTGGCCCATTAGCCAGGGCCCTGATGGCTCTCTGGGAATGCAGGGGAAACTTGCTCTTTCCTGGGCATCCACAGAGAAATTTAGGCTCCTCATTCATCTTGTCTCTGGGAAGCAATTAGAGACATAATTAAAATGTCACCCAGGGCCCTCTGTAGATGGACTCATTAGAGCTAGTGAGGGACGGGGTGTGTATAAAGACTTGTGAGCAGAGCAGGGCAGTGACCCTGAGGAGGAAGGTGGAGCCTGAGCCAAGTTCCATGGCACAGGGGGCAGCCCATGTGGGTGGACGGTGGAGGGGGTGTGACAAGGCCTTGGATGTTGCAGCCTGGTTCAGGGATGACAAAAGAAAGGAACTGCTTGACAAGCCCTGGGCTGTTTGGGGTCTGAGGGAAGCACCTAGGCCTGACATCTTTTTGACTTTGTTGGATCAACCAATGCAGGCCACCAGAGATGCAGAGAGACCCAAGACATGAGCCTGGGGGAGATGCACGTCCTTCATCCAAAGTTTGGTGGGTTTTTGGTTTTTTTTGTTTAACTGTTGGTTGTGGGACTTGACCTCAGAGCCTGGGCGCCGTCCCTCAGCTCTTCAGCTCAAGGTTAGCATTCTACCACTTTGAGCCACAGCACCACTTCTGGTTTTCTGATGGTTAATCAAAGGTAAGAGTCTCATGGACTTTTTTCTGCCCAGGCTGGCTTTGAACTGTGATCCTCAGATCTCAGCCTCATGAGTAGCTAGGATTATAGGCGTGAGCCACCAATGCCTGACAAATCTGAAGTTTTGTGTGTCGTAAATTCATGGTTGAACCCTTGTGTAGGCTGAGCCACAGCACCCCTGGGTGTATTCAGTTAGGGGATCCTTCATCCCTGAGAAATCTTTTTTTTTTTTTTGTCGGTCATGGGGCTTGAACTCTGGGCCTGGGCGCTGTCCCTCAGCTCTTCAGCTCAAGGCGAGCGCTCTACCACTTGAGCTACAGCG